GTGTGTGTGTGTGTGTGTGTGTGTGTGTGTGTGTGTGTGTGTGTGTGCGTGTGTGTGTGTGTGTGTGTGTGTGTCACTTGCTGGAAAGCTCCCTATATGTGTTCTAAGATTTGTCCGTTACTTTACTTTCTGCCCAGTATACGGGGCAGAAAGTACCAATTTTCCTCCCTAGGGCAGAAAGTAGTCACTTTCCTCCCTGTTTAGCGGGCGGAAAGTAACAACTTTCCTCCCTAGGGCGGAAAGTAACCATTTTCCTCCCTGTTTAGCGGGCGGAAAGTAACAACTATCCTCCGTGGCGTGAAATTGGCCACTTTCGCCCCTCTCTACAGGCAACAAAAGTTGGACTTTCCGTGGAGGTGTTGTGAAAAAATATATAATTTTTCAAATATAATTCAAACATTATTTGTTATCATTATGTTGCAACAGAATAGTGATTTAAAAAAAGATAAGACATACCTACTCGCATACCTAAAACTTGATAACTTTCCCGCCAGAGCTGAGGGTTGCAAGCGTACGTAAAGATCGGGACATAAGCTGAGGAGTAATTTTCATAAATAGCAACTAGGGCATAAATGGATCCTATGCCGGTGCCGATGCCGTCGGAACGTTCCGCAACACAACACGAAGTAGATGCTCCTATCTACCAAGAAATATTCTTAATCATACGTTAATTCTCTTTAATCATGAATTATCAAATATATTTTTTGAAGAGTAAACGAGTATCGGCAACTTCTGTCAATAAGCCTTGCAGATAGCTATAATTACTGAATTACATATTATATCAGAATAATTGAATAAATAGAATAATCAGTGAAAATAATGATGGTGCTATCAGGTATCAGCTCTGGTTTATTGGTACTTTATCGAGATTGACATTTTATCTGTATGTATAATATTACGCGATACCTCGTCACCGTTCTGTGCAATGTCTTGCGTGGTCAGCATACTCGCGATCGCGTCGAAATATGCATCAGGAGTAAAGTTCTGCCCAAGCAGATAAAGACGGTACAACTTGTATTGCACCTCGCATCTAATTTTTTCGCAGGAAATCGGTGAACCGTCAGAGACGAGAACCGAGGCTGGCTCCGTGTCTACTGTTACTATTTCGTTTTCTGTATGGAGCTTTCGATATGGCGATACCTCGATATCGAATTCCATGTTACATCCACCCGGTATCGGCGCTGCGGAGAACAACAATCGGCCAATGAACGACGCAGATGGATTCTCTCGATACTCAACCAATTTTACCATCGCGCCCACACCGTCGAAAACGGTTAGCTATTCAACCCATTTACGCGCGACAGATAATAGAGATTGCGCCGCAAATTAATCGAATGTACATCTTGGTATGATTTGCGATTTATTTGTGCTATCGCGATCAACGTAACACGGCCATTTAATTTAATACAGCATATAATTTTTCGGTCTTTATCACGCAAATATTGTACTCTTGCGATTGTCCTTATACACATATAATATATGGTCATTAATTTTATGTTACATTAATGGGCAAGCGTTGTGCCGCCGCCGCCAGATTTAATTCCATTAAATAAATGTTACTCTCAAAAAGGAAAGTGTGACGAAGACAGAGGTATATATTATTAATATTATTTGTACTTACCATTTTGACCGTATGTGACAATCACGAGCAACGCATCGAGATCGTTCACGTTGTCATGCTTTAAGAATACTTCTATTGGAGCTGTTGCATTGTGCGTATTTAAGTACAGACCAATGTTCGATCCGAATAAACTTCCGTTCGACACTTTACCATGTAGCTCTTTGTCGTAAGATAACGTGGCATTATATTGAAATGTATGAATTTGTAAAATAATAAACCAAATATCTGATGGAACATCTGTCACAGTGATTTTCAAGCGATTAAATGGGGCTAAATTTATTCGTTGTTTAAATGCGTCATTCTCGCTATGATTCGACAAAGATGCGACTAGCCCGACGCTGTCTGCAATACAATACATCAAACGTTGATATTAATAAAAATACGTACGATAATTACGTGCTACTTTATTATTAGAAATTAAACATTTCTGTTATATTTTTATATCTTTAGAACTATTTATCTAATTTGCGACACGACACGAGCAAATTAATTATAGATAACCCTGTTCTAAATATAAATCAGTATACCAAAAAAATATACGACAGACGTCAAAACATTTGTATCATATTTTGCAATAAAGTTTTAAATAAAGAATTCCACAATGGAAGCAATTCAATGAAGAGTAATTAATCAACTAGTATAAATCTCATTTAAATCACTAACTAGTATTAAATCTAATTTGAAACATCAGATCTATTTTTCCATAAACAATAGATTAATTCACATTTATCGATCGTAATCGTTGACATTATAATGTAGGAATATATTAGAGCTGATAAATTTAAACTAATGAATAAATTACCCGAGTATTCAGATACTCATTATCCGAAACATAAATAATAAGCGAATATCCGAAATACCCAATCGGTATTACTTGTATTATCCATATTATTATAAGGTATTTGTATTATTTACTATTCGTTATTTGTATTGTAAAAATAATAAAGATTTGCTTATATCCGTAAAATAAGTTTTGAATTTAAATATTTAATCATTACGCTAAATAGGTATAATAATTTACTTACACGTATTGAGAATGTTTTCGAAAAAAAATCAGGCAGCCAAACCGAGCATGCGATTTTACTAGATGAAGTACTCTCTTTCCAACGGTATGGTTGATTTTTGCTCAACCATACCGTTGTTCTTCATGGTCAAGTCTGATAGTGCGCTTGACGATACGGCCCATTCGAGCGCTTGTGCATCGGAGGTACAAACATGTTTATAATTGGAATTTGCTGGTGTTCAATGCACCGGATTTGAAGCCTTATTTAACCCTCCGTGCCACAGGTGGGAAAAAATAAAATAATAAACTAAGTATAAGGATCAAGAACTTTTTAATATTTACACAAGAAAAATAAAAATTTGCAATTGTCGATTTACTATTTATATTCGTCTAGTTACTACTCGCATACATTTTAAAAAATGCGTATACAAATGCCCGTATATGTTACTCGTATAGTTGAGATAGCAAGGTATTCGGATATCATTTATCTTTAAATATTACGTATATATTGTGAACAGCAAACGCGTATACAGATATCCGGGAATTTCTTGCACGTTTTGAAAAAATATGCGAGTATTAAATTATAAAATCGAGATTAGGAGACCCCCAACTGGCCAATTTCTATTTATTTGACTCACGACGTGAGTCGACCCCGATTAGGTCTTTCTCAAGTGAGATTATACATAATTATATAATTACGCACGATGTGGCTTGAGCGCAGCGTCTTGCGACGCATGATTTATTGTTGCGTAATTATATAATTATGCATAATCTCACTTGAGAAAGACCTAATCGGGGTCGAAACGTCGTGAGTCAAATAAATAGAAATTGGCCAGTTGGGGGTCGCCTAATTTCGAATTTATTTTTATCTACACACTGGCGGATCCTCGGGCGGATCTAATAATTTATTCCATTGTATTAAATTATATTTTATACAATTAAATACTTACGTATTTCCTGAAATACGTATGAGCAAGTATCTCGAATAGCGAGCAGGTATTCGAATACCTGAATATCATTGGCTACGTTTACACCCAACGACCTGATCGCGGCCTGACCTATATTGTGACCCGAAGTAGGTCCAGTCCATCATTTGTTTACACCGAGAGACCTAAAAATTGACGGGCTCGTATTTGGGATCGCCCTGAATTGCAGCGAATTTAAACAAGCAAATAAAGGCTGCATTCCGAAATTCACTGTCATCAGCAACTTTCAGTACTGAAAATCTATAGTATACGTGACGTAAAATATAGATCTACAGTACTGACAGTGAATATCGGAATGCAGCCAAAGCTTTTAGGACGCGTCGTGCGTGATCGCGCGTTTACATCGCAAATAATAATGACCTATTTTTCAGGTCGAGTCACTGACCTAGCTGAAGCCAGGTCGTCGGGGTCGCCTGTCAAGTGTTTACAGCAGGCCTAAATAATTTAGGTTGAATAATTTGAGGTATAGGCCGCGGCCTAAATTCAGGGTGTAAACGTAGCCGTACAGAAGATATTGCTTACAATTTCGTGAGAAGTTTGCTGAATATTGAGGTTATGTATGCTTACCAGGTAATGACATACAATTCGTGTTTTCTAACATCGCCGTCGCGTTACCAAGGAACAACGACAAACCCAATAGAAGGATAACAGCTCGTTTCACGTTAGCGTGCATCCCGCACCACGTATATTTACTCGTCGAAATTGCTGTCCAAGTGCGAGCCGGGGTCGCGACGCAGACGCCAGAGCAACAGCTGTCAATTTGACACTCGGCTGTGTACGGGCTCGCGCTCTCGTTCGTGGCGCTCTTACGGCGGCGGTACGCACGACTCGCGCTCCGTCTCGCTCGCTCCATTCATGAGCCGGGGTTCGCCGCATCGCCGTCTCGCTCACCCTTATTATACGTATTTATAGCAGAAGCAGAGTTTCCCAGTCTCCGGTGACTCGCGAGGCCGCCGGCTGGCGGCGCGTCAGTTCGCCCCAAGATGGCCACGTTGGATCAATGAAACGCGAGTAATCGTAGTGAAAACACAAATTGACAAGTGTGCGGGCGAACAACTGCGGCTTGATCGCGGTGTAAATGGACCATGGGCAAGGACCAGGAGCTGCTCGAGGCAGCAAGGAGCGGCAACGTCACCGTCGTCGAGAAGATCCTCGGCCAGCGTGCCAAGAGGAGTGGTCCACTGGCAAGGTGGGTGTCACCGTGCCCTAGCCTAGACTCGACAACTTCTGCCTCTCTCGCCGTCGCCTTTCCTCGTTACCGAGGTCATTTCCTCATTCCCAGTTCCCGGCCCGCCGTTGCCGGACCCTCCGTTTGATGATTTAACGACCGACGACGTCTCCGTCCCCCTCCGCCCCTCCCGCCCCCGAGTCCGTTGACACCGGGGCACGACGTCGTCTCTCGCGCATTCCATTATCGAACCGCCACCGCACGCCGTGCTCATTTCGGCATACTCCGATTCGCGTCTCGCCGATAAGGTCGCCGGGTCGCCGCCGAGAAGTTTCTCCTCGACGGGCTTGTCCGATTTCGCAATTCCCCCCCCCCCCCGCGGCGGCTGACGAGGAAACTCACGCGAACCGGGTTAAATGAACTCCCACGATGAATGAACACCGACGTTCTTTTCTTTTCATTTCCCTTTTTTTTTATGTCACGATGACGCTTCTTACGATAATTCCTTCACGCTCGATCGAACGTATACCGTGTCGTTATTCGATTAATCCGGTGGTTGTCGCCGATTGACCGCTCGCCGGGATTTCTGCCGTTAGTTCTACCGTTAATTATACGAATCATTGCTCGCGTTTCCACCTTTATTCCGACCGCCGACACGTTCGCGTTATCGAGATTTCCATTTCAATTTTGTAAGTCGATTGAATAACGTTTTGACGTAACGGTATTTAATATAAGTATAGTCCAATATCGCTCCTCTCCTCCCCCCTCTTTCTTTCTCTCTCTTTGACATAGTAATTTTGTTTTATCAAGAACGTTCTATATGATTGTGTAATTGAATTATCTTGGTTATAACCGAGGTTATAACTGTTCTATTAATTAAAGACAAAATCAATATAATGGTTGAGTTTTGTCCTATTCTTAGAAGCATAACCATGCTATTACAGCGCACTGATTAGCAGCGTTCTGTTCGACAATTTTGTCCATTCGAACAACTCGTGATTTTACCGTGACCATGAATCATATCGAACACGTACACCCAATGACGTTGCATGCAGATGTGGTGATACCGAGCAAGGACTTTGTTGTCAATTATCTAGAAGCCGTATACGCAATATTTCCTGTAACGCCTTTTTTCTAAGCTCGTTAACGTGAAACAATTAGTATCGTTTAGCACTTATATCTTTTGCCATGCTACGAGGAATATGCAACGGAGCCTTACGGAAATACGTAAGGCAAAAGAAAATATGAGGTCTCATTAAAACATGAAGATATATCGCTTCTATTTCCGAGCGCTTCATCCGCAACGCACTTATCGAGTCACTCTGCTTTCTATTTGAGGCGATAGATAGAGGGATCTATTTGGCGAGTGCAGGCTATATACATTTTTCAAGGGTCATCGATAACACGGAGAACGCAATAGGCCACCGCGAAGGAACGGAGGTCTATGATCGAGAGAGAGAGTCCATTTTATCTTCCCACACGTTGGAGACATTTAAATCCTTCGTGAACGAATTAACGCTAATTGCAAACGATCTCGCGAACACATACATTACCGTGGGAATGTCCCGTAATTTTCTACATTTATTCGCGAGAACGCGCTGACGAATAATCGGATAGGCGCGACCGGGCGCGTGTTTCGTGCCGACGAAAAAGTTCCACGCGGAAATAAATTAACGACCGGCGTGTGTACGCAGTGTCGTCATTATGGTCAAAATCGGAGCAAAACAATTGTTCATTCATCTGTCAAGCTGTCGTACGCTCGTCGAGCAATGCGATACTCGCATCGATTCGCGCGACGATAAAGCCCTAACTACGCTGCTCTATTTTTGACACGATATCATCGCGTGTCTAGTTATTTTGGACATGATATAAAGCATAGATTTCTCTTGCGATCGTCGTGAAAAACATCTAGAAATAAATCGCTTTATATCTTATTCGAGATGGTCGTCGCACGTTTTATGATAGGAGTACATTTTGCTTGATCAATAAAGACAATTTTTAAATCAATTTTATTCTAATTTAAAAGTAGAAAAAAATAGTCTTCAGAATTCTTAAGACCATTTTGTATTAAGAGCAGAAGACAAATGTCAATACGAGTCCATTCAAGAGAGATTATCGTAAAGTCACGTAGTATAAAGGAGCTTTAATGCCTTGTACAAGCGTATTCAAACAGACGATTAGTTACCGGACGTGTAGAGCGAGTCGATTGAACGCGAATGAATTTATTATCGCGCCGCGTTCTCGCCTCATTCAATTATACCGGTGATCGCCGATGGTGTCGTTCCGAACGAGTGACGCTCGCATAATTAGTGAAACACCGTCGTCTACTCGGCGAGCGCTCTTTATTGACCCAGTGTCGCGAACTCCTCGACAGAGACAGACTTTGTCGACGCTACTTGCTCCTTCCCATTAATTAAGTCATGCTACGACGACGACGGCGCAAGAAGCTCACGGTTTGTTTTTCGAGAGACTCGTGCGTGCATGCGTGCGTACATGCTTGCATGCGTGCGTGAGTGCGTGCGCACGTGCTACGAGCGCATTCACGCATTTTAAGAATGACTGCACCGTGCGACGGTGCAAAGAGGTAAAAGACATCGATAGTGAGAGTGAGAGAGAGAGAGAGAGAGAGAGAGAGAGAGAGAGAGAGAGAGAGGGAAAATCTGTTTATTATTCAGGGATGAGCTCTGCCAGAACAAGTGTACATAAATATTATACACGTTATTGACAAATATACACTGTTCTGGATTATTTTTTTTTCCTTAGACCATAATCGAAATCAAAATTCGAAATAGGAGGAATGATGAGTTATATAAGTATATAAAAATAACGAGCAAAAAATTTTCGATTATAATATCGCCCGAATGTTTTTCTGCATCAAATATTGAGATTAAATTTTGATACAAAATACTTAATATTAGCCCTATTCGCTCCAACCATGCCTTTCGTGTCCTACGAATTTCTAACAGTCGTTTGTTCCGGAAAACAAATGATCGTGGGAGAATCCCCTCCACGCCGGAAAAAAGTTATTGTGGCAGGGAACCTCAGGTAAAAATTTCAAAGTCCTAGCTCATTTACTCTCGAAACGGGGAATAATCAAAATCTCGGTGGGACATGAAAGTGCATGGTTGGAGGATTACGTCAGTGTTGTGTGAAAGGTAAATGAGCATTTTTTTCGATAAAAATGTATTTTTGTGTATTATTTAACCGCATTTAAAATATTTTTGTCGTTAAAAAAGAAATTTAACATTCCACAGAGGTCTATTATGGCTCAGAGGCAGATGGAAGAGGTGGGGAGGAGCTACGATTATATAAAAAAAATTAATTTTTTTACATAAAAAATATCTGTCACACTTCAAATTCGCCTTTTCTTATTCAGAAATTCTTTTTCTAGCATTCTTTAAGTCCTTAAAGTCCTTCTGTACCATTTAAAAATTACCAAATTTGCGGCGACGAAATTAAGTATTCCTATTTAATTAATAATTATCTCATATTTTTTTTCTCATTTGCACTACTTTTAGCTTTAATTTGCGTTTTGGTTCATTAAGCTTCGTCAATTTGTTCGTGAGTTATGATTTTTTAAGTAAAACGAGTCGTAACGTGTGTTTGTCAACATATAATTGTTGTAAAAAAATATTTAAATAAATGATTTTCAAATGTTCTTTACATTGATTTTTAGTCGAAGATACAAAGATATTATAATAACTTTTGGGGAATTTTTCAAAGCTATTAACATTATAAAAAACACGTGGGACTCGAAAGTGCATGGTTGGAGGATTATTGGGGCGAAAAAAACGTTGGAGTGAATAGGGTTAGAAAACAAAGTGCTATCAAATTTTAACAACTCAATTAGTGGCATAACAAATGTGTGATAAGTTTTTCATTATACGCATTTTAGATAAAAGCAACTGTCGCAACTGAAGAGCCTTCGCAATTTTCCTTTATATATCATTCTCCCTCTATCTAAGGGCTGGAAGAGGACGACGATTCGCCGTCGGTGATTCCTAAATGTATCGTAACGAACGCGCGCTTCTCCAACGAATTGTCTCTCTCGTGCCTGTCGACGGCAACGCGCAACTTGTCCGTAACTACAAAGCCAGCCCGCGGCAAGTTTGCCCGCGCGATTTCTTCTTCTCTCGTTATTCCGCGACCTCTTCACCGCCCGACACGCGCTTGCCTTTTTGCCCTCCTCGTCGGAAGATCACAGAAAAGCAATATAAAACGCGACCGCCCTGAGAGAGCGTCGTCCCCGAGCTCCTCAACGCTGTAGCCCGCCCGGCGAGGGAGCTGAGAATATTTTGCGATGCTAATCGCGAAGTGGACGCACCACTTTTCGTGTACGAGCGCCCGCGAATGCGTGTTTATCCTTTGTTCGTCGTTCGGTCTTCTTTTTTTTTTTTTACTTTGTATGTAGGTGTGATAATTTTAATCACAGCTTCGTTGAAAGACAAAGCTAGGAAAAAAAATCTCACGGGACAGAACATAAGAAAATCGATACTGTAACGTGAATTATGTAATAATATCTATAGAGTAAAAATATTCGTACTTCACGCGTGATATATAGTAAGTTGAAATTTGTCGGAAGTAATTTCGTGGACCAATTGTAAATGCGTAATAATCAGAATCCGATAAATTGTAGTCGGTTGATTTGCTTGTGCTGATTTGTTTCGCAATATTTGGAACAATTGAAATATGTTTAAAATTAAATAAATATATATTACGTGCGCGTAATATAGGGGGAGTCCGGGAGACTTGACCATAGAGGAGAACCACTTCAAATATCTCGTTCAAATTTTGCGCCAAGCGCACAATTATTAAGTTGCTGTATTATTATATTATATTGTATTTATATATTTGAACGAGATATTTGAAGTGGTTCAACTCTTCTTTATGGTCAAGTCTCACGGACTCCTGCTGTAATTTATTTATTTTTTAATTTATATTTATCGAGGAAAAATTATGTCTATATTTCTTAAAGATCGAAGTTCATTGTTATTACTACTTTTAGGACACGTGGCATAATTTGTACTAAATGCAAGTGTTTCTTTTTTTTCTTCTTCACGGCACCTGTCGTCAAATATTTCCGAAGAAGGACATTTGGCTAGGTCAGCGCGTATCGTACCTCTCTTCTTTGCCGGAGGAAACTATCGATTGATGCCCCAGCACCCCTCACATGTATACACCCTCACAGCTTTCAGCTTCTCTCTCGCACGCTCGCTCCCTCTCCCTCTCTTTCCCATTTCAGCCCTCTCTGCCTCTCTCCTCTTCATCGCTTTCTCTTTTGCTCCTTCTCTCTCTCAGCCTAGTTTCCCTCTACGCTTTGCCTCCGGCATAAGGGTGCGTTCGCGCGCTAGGCACTCACGTTCATGCAGTCGAAAAGAGCTCTACCAAGCTCCGTTTATCCATCCACGTTTTATATTTCTAATCCTACCCTTAAGATGTTTACGGAAGTTCCATTAATATTATGGTAGAGCGCGAGTATGTCCCTTGTCGTATCATTCATTCATTACATAAATATTATTTCCGATCCTTTCTAAATATTTATAGCGATAACAAAACATTAAGATTCATGAAATCATTTTTTGATTTGTTTTAAAACAGTATTACATTTATTCATATTCTAGTTTATGTAATTTTATGTTTGCATTCATCAAGTGTTTTTAATGCACTAAAAATTACTTATTCACTTATCTCAGCATTACTTATTCAAGTTTATAATTTTTAACTTATTCAATATTTTTCATTATTTATTCAATCTTTATCCTGAACGATTAAGGGGATCCTAAAGTGAAGGCTGAACTTCCTCGACGTCGGTAATGTCAACATTTCTAATTTTGTTTTCTTGTCATATATCTATATCTGTCCTTGTCTAACGAGAGGCATCTGTCTTTGTTCGATTACTGCGCCATCTCTTGCCACACGCAATATTGCTTATCCTGTCAACCTGAATGTGCTTTTGCACATATAAAAGTTATATAAAGTAATCTTTTTTTCTAAGTTTTCAATCTTAGATCTAATTGCACGATATTGTTCTTAAATGTTGTCCCTAGGTCATGCCGGTCTAATTTTGTGGATATTTATCGTGGAATTTTTGTACAAAGCAAATATTGTCGTCACGTATACCAAAAATTAACAAAAATATTAATTTTTTTTCGTTTTCGATATAAATTTGACCACCATGACCTAGATTTTGATGCGTACTTTAATTCTAGACAAGAATTTTGCATTTCTATAAAGTCAATTAAAAGATTAGTGCTAAGAAAAAAAGCCGGTATTACAGACGGCTTTAGGATCCTCTTAACTAGCTGAAGATGTTGCTCATCAATATCATAGTTACCCTGTTTAGCCAAGCCTATATTTTCCTTTTTTTCGGAATTGGAAAGGAACAATAGCTACGATTATTAACGCTGCTGGGAGCTGACCCACGATGGCCATTTCGATCGCGCAACTTCTTGATTAAAATCAACAAGAAATTACCATTATACGGTGTCCAACAGACGGCCCTTCCACCAATGATCGCGTCCTCCCCTCTGTATCTCTCTCTTGCCCCCTCATCTCATTCGTAATGTTCAGCGACGACGGGGGTACCGGACGATGTCCTTTTTGCAGACAATCTTCAGGGTTTAATTAAGGAACTTGGAAGAGCGGATGAACTCAATGAATGGGGCGGACGAAAAGTGAAAGGGCGACGCTGGGAGAACAGAGAGGGGCGGAGGGGCAGAAAAAGAGAGTCAAAATGTTCTTTACTAACCAGGATCGTAGCACGCGAACGCTTCTCTTGGTCATTCTATGGTATATGTGCAACTTTGCGCGTGCACGTGTGCGGAAACGCGCACGCATGACTGCACAACGCGTTCGTGTACACGGCTTTAAGAATTGTGTGCACCACCCTCGTTGTAGTCGGGAGAGTCGGGACGTGGAAAACAAACACCCATCCCTGGCTCGACGATCGAAAGAGAAGGCAAAATAAAGAAAGACGTCGTTATGGGAAGACAGAAAGAGAGAGAGAGAAAGATAAAGAGGAAGACAAGTTGTCGAGCAATCGAGCATACGAAGTCTAAAGCTTACAAATTACACCGTAAGCGCAAGAAAACAAAGAAAAAAAATAAAAGCAAGAAAAATACGTCGTTAGTAAAATCGATCATTAAAAATTTATTTTGCGAGAAGCTTGAAAGCTATCACTTTTTTTTTAACACCGACGATGCTCGTTAACACTTGTTTTCATACCACACGATTTCCATTTTTGTTTGAGCGGTGCATACGTTTTGCCATGCTCCTGTAATATCGCTCTTATGCGATACAATTTTCTTTTTGATCTCTGTTACAATGGCATAAGAGTTCCTCGAGGAGGCGAAGGGGAGTGTGCTCGGAGCTTTTTACGCCGATCGTCGCGTGCCGCCTACGGAAAGTCAGCGATTTAGAGTGCGTGTATCCGAGGGGTTAATGACGACGTTAGTTAATGACGGCGTGCTTTGATGTGCCGCTCGTATACTGGAAAAAAGTCTCCCGCTTACGTAATTGTTTTGTAAACTGAGCGCGATGCTTTGACGGGAACGTCACGTGGGCGTGGGATTAAAATGTGTGTATATACGCTCTTTTAACGAGGGAAAAGTTCCTGGCATTTCCTCGCGCGAGTTTGTGATCGATAATGGATTCCAAGCGATTTAGATTGCTTGGAACTAATACGATCGTATATAATCAGTGATTTAATTATAAGTTGTCTTTTGAATCGAAATCGGTTGCTCGCTCGTTCTCTGCGGAACTTAATTGTCTCACGTAAATCGAATGAATATATTTTGCTATATGTATGTGCATTATAGCATCTATTCCTCTTCTAAAAAGGAGATGTGAAGTTTATTGTTGCCGCTTTTCCGCGATGCCGATTGGTTCTCTTGCTGCGCTTACTTCATTTGCAGCTGTCATTGTATATTTTGACAGTTGTGTATAATAGGGTTAATAGTGAAATGTTAAAGATAAATAGCGCGCGCGTAGCGCGCGTCTGTAGTGTCTAGTATGTATTAAAGGTCATTCACATAAATTTCTGATATCCGATTTATCTTCTAGATGATAGAGGATGCAATGTATACATATATATTTGTGCGCTTCAATCCTCATATCGAAGATATATAAAAGCTGCGCAAATACCGTGCTCGAGTTGTGGCATTTATTAGTCGCCTAATGTCAATATTATGCTGTCTAATAACATTTCTCATTAAGATGTACTTTGATGCGAATATACATGCATAGTATACTACAAAAAGAGTCGATCATGCATTGTACAGATTGTGAATTATTTTATTTTCTCAAGATATGCCACGTTGCAATATTATCAAATACATATGTCAATCACTGAAGTATTACCCTTTTTCTCGCAATCATTTCTTGAACTGACGCTTCTAACGCTTATGATGTTTTAATCGTTACCTACGAACGCGATGAGAATATAATGAGCAATGTATTTACTAGGTTAATTAGGTGTTGGCAATAAACTTACTGTTACGTGTCCAGCATTACAACAACACTACGTCGGGGATGACTATGTCGGTTAGGCAATAATATCGCACTTACAGCACGTACAATTGTCGGAACTTTATTACTTATGTGAAATGAAAACATTAATTGCGGCTTTTCATGTTGATCCATTACCGCGCGTAAATGCTCGGGTTCATGTCGCCAATAGATTCCTCATTACGGACTTTCAAAAGAATTTGATCTCGATTATGCGCTTAATTTTCTTTTTCACGGCGACTTAGTCTCGCCTGCCCTCGTGCATTTCGCAAAAATAAAAAATAAAAAAAGAATTCACTTTTATACAAACTTTATTCGAATCTTTTTTCGAATATTCTCGAAATCCAGTCAATTCAAGCGCCTTTGAACGCGGATACTCGACGCTTCGAGGACGGTTGAATAGCCGCCGGCTTTCCTCCCCCTTCGTTCCTCCAATCAAATCCACTTGGAGAGAGACGGGATAACGAGAAATTCCTCTATCGGCAAAGCGTTGCAGGAATATCTGGATATCCGATTCAATAAAAGGAAGCAGAAGAGGTGGCGAGGGCGGGAGTCATAAGTCGCCGAAGAGGAGCACCGCTATATAGCGCGCTCTCTCCTCTCTTTCGCTTTTCCCCGAGGGTGCCGTCGTTTACACGGTGTTTGCGGGGGCGCGACATTTATCTCCGCGCCAGCGCAACAAAGGCACATAATGAGAACATGTGTTGGACGCAGGAAGCTTCATTAGCGAGTCTGTTCCTTTTCACGCGGCGCATTATGTCATCTAACCGTCTGCGATGCGCGGATGTACCGAGATACGCCGCGAGTCCACGCCACCAGTCGTGCACTCTCTTCTAATCACGAATATTAGAAATAGAACCAAGAAATACAGTGTTTGATTCGGCATCGAGTCATCAATAGCTTTTGAGATAAAAATGATACAAAAATTTAATTCTTGTCAAATTAAATTTAACGAATTGTCCTATAAGATTATCGCGTGGAGAGAGTTGAAGTATTTTATTTTCGATCCTATCTGGCATTTCTTTGCTCAAGTTAATTCTTGTGACTTAGCATTCAACACCTATAAAACCAAATTTTAAAAATCCAGCACAATAATTTATATTTATTGTAAAAACTTTAATTTATCGATGTTCTGTCGTGCGATTGAACGATTATTTTATTTGCAGTTTACGTCGAGGGCCAGGTGCTAATGTGCAAGACGCCAGTGGATATTCAGCTCTTCACCATGCAGCCCTGAATGGGCATAGGTAAAATATCCGTTTAAATACCTTTTAAAAATGCTTTAGTATTTCTACTTTGTTAAAATTTTTATGTTCTTCTCTTTATCGAATTTAAAAAAATAACCATATCTTCTCTAACATTTCCTGAAACATTTATTTGCAGAGACGTGGTCAGATTGCTGCTCCAATATGAGGCTTCCACCAATGTTGTCGACGCTAAAGGTTCCTCGCCGCTTCATTTGGCAGCTTGGGCTGGGGACGCGGAAATTGTACGATTAATTCTCAATCAAGGCCCATCGGTACCAAAAGTGAATCTTGCGGTTAGTACCATAATGTTGATTTTATGAAAATTGTGTGACAATACAAACGCGTAAAATGACTTTAGGATGCATTTCAAGATTTTGTGGCACTCTCAGAATATGTTTTAAAGTATCTTCTCTGTGAGAACATTATTTTATGAATGTCAAAAGTAATATTTACTCTATTAAGTGGAAATAGCTCCGATAAATGTCGCAAATCAATATGCAATATTTAGTTAAAAAAAAAAACTAAATATTATTTGGTTACAGACAAAGGATAACGAGACTGCATTGCATTGTGCCGCGCAGTACGGGCACACGGAAGTGGTGGCACAGCTGTTGCAATACGGATGCGACCCTAGTATCCGCAACAGCCGCGGAGAATCCGCGCTCGACCTCGCTGCGCAATATGGCAGGTAAATCGCGCACATACGAATATATCTTTTTCAGCGACTCAACCACATATTTTTTCGTATACGCACTTCATGATATTTGCGGATATTAAATTTTTCAATCGATATTATCGCTTCGATTGGAGCAGGCTATAATATATCACCGATGTAAAGTAATCGTGGCGTTTCTTACAGATTGGAAACTGTGGAGTTACTCGTGCGAACGCATCCTGAATTAATCGAATCGCTTCGTAATTCTTCCTCATCTCTGATCTTCCCGCATACACCATTGCATTTAGCTTCACGCAATGGCCACAGGTAAGAGTTAATTTACTTGGCGTATTTGAAAAAGAGTATAATTTATAATCGCTAGAGTAATTCATAATCGCTAGAAAGCGATAATAATTAATTATTTAATGATACTGAGATATCATGTATTTTGAAAATGTGTAGTTGCCTTATTTTCCCTTTTTATCTCGTACGAATCGATTTAGCGGTTTTAATTATATTCCGATGAAGCACGTACAATGCCAATTTACCATCACATGTGCGGGTATTTTTGTTTATCTAAGGACCGCATATCGCTTCTTCCCGCGAAATGGTCACGCTAATTATTGGATAATGCGCAACGTGTATTGTGTTCGAGTACAACAATGGATTCGTTCGAGCTAACCATAACGATGTCGAGCCATTTGCAGTGCTGGCCATTAGAGCCAATCAGAGAGCACCGCGTTGCGTAATCCCGTCGAATGCGATATATGCGTCCTACGACTGGCATGATCCGATCCAACCCTCTACTGGTTACACGTCCCATATTACCGTCCCGTCGATTGCCCTCTCGTCCCTCCTCGAGCCACGCGAATGCGTCCGATCGCATCACACCGGCAGCCGCTCTGTCCATCCGTGCGGATTGCTGACCGCCTCCCGATTACGAGAATCGTATTAATCACTGCCGCCGAAACGTATCGACCTATATTAATCGTGATGGCAGCAACGGCAAAATACTATTTGCGTCTCAAAAATATGTTGGTTTCTCGCATCACGCTGTTTATTATATCGAGATATCATATCATTGCACACACATAATGATACAATGACTAATAAGTCATCGATATTAAATTGGAGTGGAAAAATCTTCTATGTGGAATAAATAATGTCATAATCATAACCATGTATCTTGTGTAATATTATTCAATTAACTGAACCGCGTAATGGGGTGACAAAGAAAGGAGCGGATAATCGATTACGTCGAACCCACATGATCAGATGGCGAAAAACTATAACTGCTATATTTCTTCGATAATTGTGAAAAATCCTTTGGTATCTTAGAATCGCGATGGCAAATATCATTTCGGTATCACACGCTGTAACATCTCTGTTATCTGGTCGTTTCGCATTTAAAATTTGGTGTCGAGCGATATACGTTCTCGTTTAACAGGGCGATGCTAGTCCGTAATCCCGCTGTGAGCTTTTTTGTATAATCGACGCCACGGAGACGAGAGCGGTGGACAGCGAGGAGATGCATGATCGTAACAGTCCGGTTGGCAGTCGAATCGAATCGTGAATCGCCGCGAAACGGCAGTCACATTGTAATCGGGTATAACGCCGGTTTTTCTATGCAGCCTCGCAGCCGGTAATCGCTTTAACCGGCGTTTGCCGCTTATAATGCGATCGTATCGCGATATACAGTCCGGCGGCTGCATTTTCCGTCGATTCCAGCGCGCGAGGGTGCAGCAGAATTGGCCGGGGGGATGCTGTTGGTGTGGGGGTGGGCGTGAGAGAGAGAGCGTGCGGAACGTGACATTTTATCGCTCGAATTTTGGTTAAATAACGGCGCGCGAGACGTTTGCGCCTGTACGAGTGCGAACGCGTACGCACGAGCTGTTTGGGCGTTTGGGCTAGATCAGCGTTTCTCAAACTGCAGCTACAAAAAAAAAAAAACGCCACGAGGGATGAGAAAAGTATCAATGCATCGATAAAAGTCCATGTACATCTATTTACGTCTACAATTGATCGCGGATTGCGTGAATTTATATATACGCATATCTATATGCAATCATCAAATATCAATAATGTTAAAGTAGTGTATAACAAAATTATATTCTTATATCTTATATTCCTGCTATATTTTACACGGCATTTAGCTAATATATTCTTAACTATTTAAATTCCCTCTGTCCACTTTGGATCAATCTGTGGAATGTGTCAGAAGATTTCGATATCGCAAAGTTTGAGAGTCTCTGAGGTAGATGTACGTGCGCACGCGAGCACGGGAGAGGGGTTGCGTACATTGCGACGGTCGAGCTCACGCACGCGTTTCACGCGCGCACCACGATATTTAGTGGATCTACCAATGTGGCTATATGGGGCTAGAACAGGAGGGGGTTGGGGAGAAGGGACTGTGTGATGGCAGAGAGGGATCAGTTTGGGGGAGGCGGACGCGGAGTAATGTCTATTATCGGATTCAATATCGATGCTCTCGGTAAGCCAGTATACAAATACCCCTATGCTACGGTAATAACAACATAGGTGCATGCGAATCCGATCTTCAGCCGCCAATCCTATATGCGACGGACGGCTGCGGTCACCGCAGTCGGTACACGGCCCATCCGATAGAAGGAAGGTAAAATCTGTGTTTCAATTAGGCGCCGATGGCAAATGCATCTCTGATAGTCTTAATGGCCTGTCGATGGATGGCAGTCGCGGGAGAAGCTTCGAGGTCGCTTAAATCCCCGAAGCTCTGGTTTCCCGCTCGAGATTTATTGTGAAATCCACATGTTATAGTCGACAATTTGTTATTTTTTTCCTAATACTTTTTAAGCTGGACTTTATTTTCTTATTTTTTTGCGTAAAAAGCATAACAAAATGCGAAGCTACTCAAAACGCAATCTCTCTTTACACAAACGCGGTACACGTAGCAACTTTGAATAATTGCAAATTTTACGAGCCCGTTACATTTGTTATTTGAAACGTGAAATAAAATGCAATGAAATGTTCGTTTAATTTTGTTGCAGAGCGGTCGTGGAGGTCCTCCTTGCCGCTGGAGTTGATGTCAATACGAGAACATCAGCAGGGACCGCGATGCACGAGGCCGCGCTCTGTGGCAAGATGGAAGTGGTACGGGCGCTTTTAGATCGCGGAGTGGATTTGGGCATTAGGGATTCTCGGCAAAACACGGTGCTTGATCTTCTGGGACAGTTTCCGCCGCATGTTACTCAAGATATCACAGCGGTGATAAAAAGTACGGCTGCATTCGCATGCAACTTATTTTCGTAGCATCACTAGCATATACATATATATTTATGTATGTGTGTATATATTGATTTACATATATATTATATATTTATGTATGTGTGTATATATATACACATATGTAATTAGTGGAATTTCTGTTGAGAGAACGTACGTTTCTAGTTTACTGCAGCGTTTAATTAAATCGCTCTTAGCCACATATAAAGATTTGCGTGTATTTGCATAACGTTATATTAAGCACATGGAATTAATCCCGAAATCTGTTTCTGCACTCATTACGTACGAATAGTGAAACAACACGTTTACAATTTTTATCGTTACAATTTACATCGTACAATAACAATGATCATGACAATTCTTACTTTTTAAATTGCTACATATTAGAAGTATTTAAAAAATTAATTTCGTATTTTCGCTATTTTATTTCCTTCTCGTTCACTGCTCTGCAGCTACAACGCTGCAATTTCGTTAGTTTTGTCTGAAAATATTTATAAGTATTTTTATACAGATGATTAATGTGTACAATTACAATTTCGATTTTGAAACAGGGCACCGGTCTTCCTCCGGTGTGGAAAGCGACGCCGATAGCGAGAACTTGCCGCCAATTCCGGTGCAGGGTGGCGACTCGTTGGGCAGCCCCTACGAAAATGTTCGTCCGGAGGATGATCTCTCCCCCGCGGAAGGAACGTCGCCTACTCAATGGCAGTTCTATCATAAGCCTCGGGACGACGATCGTCGCGTTTCCGGCACTTCCGTCATGTCCTTGTGAGTATTTTTCTTCACATTTATTGCATGTTGTGCGTTGCCATATTTTTTATAGCGTATTATATCAAATCTTTCCCCTATTTTCCCTCATTGATTTCTTCCTACTACGATGTCGTGATAGATAGTGATACATGTTTGTACAGAACATCTATAGTATAACTAATATATGTGTTCGTGTGATATTAGTAAAATATTAATTCGGCAGTAACCAAATAATTTACACCATCAGTGAAATATTATGAGAAAATTATACACATATATAATTGATAAGATAGCATAACGTACTATTTAAATATTTCGACGTATAAATATTTATTAGAACGTATTAAATGATATCTAGCAACGTACGTGTAATAATCAAAACTATTAACAAATAAATTACATTTATTTATTTATTACACTTAACGCAAATTTTAATATATATCAAATGTTCACATACATATATTCTCACATATAATCATTCGAGAGGATTGAAACTTTGCACGTAAAATATAGTGAAAACGTATCCCTCTATCACTCAGACCATCTTTATAGAGCTCCCTCGGAAAAAAAAATAGAAAGCGCGATTGGATCGGGTAAGCGCGGAGGCTCGTAATATTTTGCAAAAAGGCTTCGTGCGCGCACAGCGGCTGCGGCTGTGCTTTAATATAGAAGATGTTGGACAAACAAAAGCGTAGACGTGGACGGAGCGCGGAGTGAATGAGTGAGTGCCGGCCAAGCACCAGGGATGATGACGGCTGGTGCTGGCGCTGCTGCCACCGTCGGTATCCGTAGGAGGTGGAGAAGGTTGTAGGTAGAGGTTCTCGAACCGAAAAGGGAACCTGGATATGGGGCGGCGCCAGGGGGGGTGAAACGCGAAGGTGGAGGAAGAGGTTGGAGGAGGTGGCACGGCCGCGTGTAGCCCCAGCGCGTTAAGCACCGCTTGGCTTGGTTTAATTTTCCTGATGTAGGCAGGCGAGATGGTGGGTCCGACCGCCTCGTTCGCCCCTAGGTCACCCCCGTTGCATCACCCCATTGGTACTCTGTGCCAGTGCTACCGCTCTAGCTGCTAAGCCCGACTGGTTGGCTCGTGGGGTACAGCGAGCGAGAGAGAGAAAGACGAAGACATAGAGTGATAGAGAGACGATGAAGGAAAACTCGGAGAGTAAGGGAGCGAACGAAGGAGAAAGAGGGATACGCAATATGTATATGTGTGGAAGAGGGAGAAGGGAGCGAGAGAACGCGTGGGAGCTCCCGTTGATGTTCCCGCACTTCTACCATCAATGTTTGACGTCGGTAGCCCCGGCTTGGCCGCCTCGAAATGAATCTATCACGTTAAACAATGTAAATGTTAGCCCGTCTCAGCATAAAACTAATAACCATTGCTCTCTCCCTCGTGGTACGAGCGCGTGGCCTCCGCCGACCCCCTCGGGGCCGCGAACTCCTTTTTCGCTTCTCTTTTCCGCGATCGTCGCGTTCCGTCCTCGTCGACGTGGCCTCATTAAAAAGTCGGCACTTGCCTGTGAATGTCTTTAACTGAACCATATTTTGTCAATGGGAGCAACTGTCTTTTCTATAGCGCGCATACGATTTACATTTACATCCTTATACATATAATGCGATCCTTACTCTTTGCTTTTGCGAATATTTTAATTTAAGCATTTCCGTTATTCGCGGAGCGATACGATTTAAATATTAAATAACATTAGCGTAATAAGATAGAACAATAAAACTCCGTCTAAACATTAAATTAAATTTCATTCAGTAAAGCATAGCTGTATAGCAGTTATTCTAGCTTGAACGATATACGAGATTATATGTTGCTTGGCTTTGGATGTGCGGTTAATTGTTGGTAATCGATAACGGTTGACGTACCGGGGTGCGCGTTTCAGTGAAGACGAGCAGTACGGGGACTCGGTGAACGGAGTACGGAGGGCCCTCCAGCAGACAGAGGACTCCGACCCCAGTTCCGTCTTCGACAGCGTCTTTATGTCCCTATCCGACACTCTCAACTCTATAAATACTCTCGAAAGTTCCGACCAAACTCCTGAAGATATACCACAAAACACTACCAAAAGAACACCATTACCATTCGACACTACACGGTAATGACACGCAAGCATTTTGCATCACATAGTTGCATTAGAAACAACATGAATACTTCATAATATCGAATCAACGTTTTTGAAGGTAGTCTTGATTAGCGTAGTTTACATGCATGTACTCGGCTGTAGAACATTTTGAAAATTATTCACGCGTATTTTGATGTTGCTGCTAAAGAATACCGCATAATACTTCAGACAAATACAATTTCAAGATATGCTGTTAGCGCCGTAAAATGTAACGGCGTGTAGACGTGAGAAATATTTGTATTTCTTGCTGATTAATCGAGCGGAAGCGTACGTTTCCGACATTCTCGATCTATCGAGTCGATTTATCATCGACCAATAATAGATAGCCGATTGGTTCCGCTGAAACCCCGAGTTTTGGTTGCACAGGGGCTCCGACAGCGGACTGTACCAAACTCCACCCGTGCCACGCGGCACAATGGAGGGTAGCTTCGTATCAGAGGACCTGTCCTTGACATTGCCCACGGGATACGGGGGCAGAGAGTCCGACCAATTGAGCGTATCGTCATCCTCGAGCGTCGGCGGACCGAGCCCACGGGACCGTCGTTGTTTGCCCAACGATTCCAGCACCGGGATTTACTTGCCAATGGCACCCCTGTCCAGCTCGCTACACAGCCCCGCTTCCAACAATAAAGTCTCGGTAAGGTCCCCGGTTTATCTAAGTTATGAAGAAATATTCGATGACATGAATATATGTTTTCGATTAAAATTAAAGAGATAAAATTGCCTTGCGCCCTTTCTCGAGTTAATCGCGAATTAAATTTTTTGGGAATATTTGTGAATGTGACGACAATTTTGGACGCGGAGATAATCCGCGAACGTGAAGAAATATTCGCTTCTTCTTCCGCAGCCGACACCGCCCAAGAAGCCGCCTAGACGAAATCTCTCGGTATCCCCGACGCACCTGCAAACGCAGATGTCTTTATCAGCCGACAGTTCGGTAGGGCCGAGCAATTACGAGTACTTGTTCTTGGCGCGCAGCGGTGCGCGAAGTCACATCGATCTTGAGCAGCTGCAGAAACGGCGCGATCAGCTGCGACACGTTACGCGAAGCGTGGACCAGTACGTGGAGATGAAATCGCGGCTGGTCGGGGCCGATGAGAAAGGCCGCGAGTCCGGGGTGGAGCCGGTAGCCATAACGTCCATCTACGAGAACCGGCCGGTCAAGATGCTGAATCCGCGTAGGAAATTACGTAGACACGCGTACGAGAACTACGAGCCGGAGAACAGCTCGTGCACCGACAAATCACCCTGCAGCGACGGCGACGCGGTGATCCAGGAGCAAACGTTCGTATCGAGCGCGTTTCTCACCCTGAGGTCTTCCCAGGAGAGTCTCCTCGATGAGAGGCGTGAGATAGCGGACGGGCAATCCGCGTCCGAGAGTCGCGAGGCCACTGACAAACGTCTCAAACGCGTGCAAATGATGCTGCCGACCAGCCCTACGCATTACGTTCAGCCGCCTACCCCCGATCATCCGCCGCCGTCCGCCATGCAAGCGGAAAAGTCCATCCACGAGCGTATTCGTCCGCTCAGCCAGGTAAGTGCTATCAGCGGCTATTACTCCACGCAGAGGCACCGGGTTGACGGATGTGTAATGCCTAAAAGATAGCGGGCAGTTAATAACAGATCATTAGCAACGTGCAGTGGCTGATGATACGTGATATAAGGTAAATGTACCAATGCCGGGACACTTAAGACCTATGTCTAGACATTTTTATCATTTTAGTTTTTTTTTAATAAGTCACGAATTAAAATCAAAGATAAAAATATAATACAAGAAAAATATTTTTATCTTTAAATTCTTTGATTTTAATTCACGTTAAAACTTATTTAAGAACTAAAATAAAAATCATAAATGTCCAGACATAGGTACGTGTCCAGGCATTGGTACATTTACCTTAATATTTTATTACGAGCTTCCGCAACAACGCAATTTTCAGGCGTGTTTATTAGATTATCGAAAGAAACGGGATGATTATCTTTTTCATATATAAAAATCGGTGCCATTTTTGTAAATAAAGCTGCTTTAAAAAATCATATTGACAAGTTGTGAATCAACGGATGGGTTCTCTTAAAGCGACTAACGTAATTTCCTATCCCCGCATTAACTCGTATACGTGCGTGCATGCAAGATTCTCGATTTCCCGTGAGAATTCCGCGGTTCGTTTCAAACGCAGTAGCAATTTCAAATGGGAGCGTTTCCGCGATTTGTCGCGCGGCACTCGGCGAAGCGTGCAACGGCGGTTCAATTTTGCATCCTCGGCTGCTGCTTGGAAGTACGGCAATCAGTAGACGTTTATACGTATGTACATCCGTCTCATATGTCTCGAGGAATACCGAGATATAGTCCCGCTAAAGACGCGTTAGATCGTGGGGACTCCGCGCGGAGAACGCGGGGGAGTTTAGAGCGCCGCCCGCGTTTAAGCCGCGCTCGTGACGTAAGAACTTGGCAACGTGCGCTCGTTAAGGGTTGCCATTAACGCTCTCACTTGACCTGGTGCCTTGGACAGTAGATAAGCAGTCGACGTCTTACCAGGTTACGTTTAATATACAAGCTGTGTTTGATCTGTGATGCGATTTACAAGGATTCGTCCCTCTGCCTCGCTCGGAGCCGCCGTCGCTGCTTTCGGCCTGCCTCGCTCGTTTGCTGCCGTTTGCGCGTCGCCCTATGATCGTTCTGCTGTGAGACCGACTACGTTCAATTCCCATCCACCGCGAATGGATATCCATAGCACATGACGCAGCTTCCAGCGCACTCCTGCCTCCCCCTCCCTCTTCTTCTCTCTTCCACTTTCTCTCTCTCTCTCCCTCTCTCTCCCTCTTCCTCTCTCTTTGCTCTTTCCACGGTATCTCTCTGCCATCCACCCCAGCTTCTCTCTACCGTTTCCTATATGCGTTCGCAATCCGTGTCTTTCAGTCGGCTATACACGCTTGACGAAATATCACACAGTGAATATATCCAGAAAGGAGTCGGTGAATGCGGCGAAGACGGCGAACTCATGTGTACAGCCGGTGGTACCGTGTAACATCGCTTGCTTGGGAGATGATCGATGTCTTCATCATGCAAATCGTCTATTTGATAGACATGGATACCTTCTTCTCGTAACATGCTTCATATATCCTTTCTGGTATTCGATGAGTTATAAATCCCTTCACTTCCCATTGGACGATCAGGCGATTCCTACACATTTCCGGATTTGAAATTTAAATATAAGATCCAAAGATCCGAGTCACGAGATCAAACAAGTACGTATTGGAAATTCCAATCAACGAGATATCTCCAGGAAGAGCTATTGAGGGTTAACTTGATATCGGTAATATCGCACAATTTACACGACTAATACCGCAAGGTTCGTCGGTCGACTCGCGATAGTATCCGAGTAGCGTATTCTCAATTCGTTGAGCAGCTGATATGATTCGATGATGGAGATCGAACGCCGTTACGGCAGCCGAAGACAGCGTGCTCGGCACACGGAGGCAGAGGGTCTCCGCGAACCTGTCGGAGGAAGGACGAAGAGATGGGAGAACCCTCTATGGATGGTTGCTTCTCACCCGTCAACTTCCGCGAATCCAGTAGAGCGGCAGAATGCAAGACGCCGACACCCTTTGAATAATGAAGCCCTCGGCTTCTATGCCTGTCTGACTTCGCCTCGCGAACGCTCGTTCTCCGTTGCCGTTAGGAGAGAGAGAAATTCACGAATTTGTAGCGACGGTTTCCGGCCGTCTCCTCGAGACGCTCGCTCTCGGCGTTTTACAGATGATACCGCGGAGCGTCTGTCGGGCCTCTGACGTCAAATTTTAATTGCGTTAGAGCCTTTCTAGAACGCGCGATGAAATAGCAGCTCGCCGTTTCGTGCAGTTTGCACTTAGTAAATCAAAACGCGAGGTCTCTTTGAGTGGCGTAACGCAATTTTCGGTGGTTTAATACGCCTCGCCGTTAAACATAAATGACGTTACGTTGACCGCGTTGGTTATAGCTTATTATTAATATAACGTAATATGTAAAAATACGTATAAAAATACACATATGTAATTAAACGTAAATCTGTACAAACTATACTAAGTTGTAACTTTAATTATTATCAGTATTAAGGTTATTCACATACACATCTTCAGTTATTCATCTTTCATTTTTTAGAATAAAAATAATTTTTGATGTAGATATAAAATAATTCCTATGTAAACTACATCGCAATATTTGCAGCAATAATTCGTTGCGGATCATAAAATTCAAGAATGCTGGAAAAATCGTATTATATTTGTCATTTATGACTCGCCGTCAGCGGAATCGAAAGAATTAATGTCAAAAGGTATAGATTTTTATTCGAATAAATAAATATGCTTTAGGTTGACCACGCGTATTTATTTTCCCTCCGATTTACATGGCATATTTTTCGCGTGCCTGCACGCAAACGTTTCGTTTCAATAAATTTTCATCGCGATAGGATTGGCTTCATTTTTCCATCGTGTGATTTGCCGCGGCTCGACGCGACGCGACGCGAGGCGACGCGGCTCACAGGGGAATTTTTATATCGACTGTAAATATCCGTGTATAAAATACGAATGTTGACAATTTCGTGATAACGGCGATATATGTCCAGAGTAATAGTGGTCGCGGGCAAATTGTAAAACGCAACTGCCATAAATCCAACAACATGATCAGCATCCGAGTTTTTCACAGCAGATATTGAAGGCTTGGAAAATCGAAGCGTCGAAAATGTGCCCTTTCCCGCAGTATTTCCCTGCAATATTTGTAGCGTGTACTTTAGGCGGGAGGGAATCTCGCTTCTTCTTCAAATGGCGCTGATTTGTCAATAGGTGTACAAGCGAAGATCCCGCGACATGGAAACGGAAACGGACGAAGATCTGCTGCAATTTCCCACCGGTGGATCACTCAACGCGTCAAGCGGTTCGCTGTCCAGCGTATCGCTGTCCGACAAGAGCATGTCCACGGACAATGTCGAGGAATACTTCGGCGACGTGCCGTTCGCAGGTAAACAGCAACGCACGCTTGGCTGCACCGCATGACGCTTCTTTCTGCCCACGTGTACATGCATAACCGTTGTGTTACGTTTCTGTCTTTTTACCGTCTGTCTGAAACACCGCTAACGCGACGATTGGGACGTTTCTTGGGACATGCACTCTAAAAGCAAGTCTCTCGACTTTTTTCCCGTTTAATTACGCAATGTATTGTTGAACTCGTACTGCATTGGTGAAAACGGGGCAGGAAGCTACGAGGCGAGTTGTACATATGTATAGTGTCACCTAAAGGTGATGGTGTTGATGCTGAAATAATTTTATGTATTCAATTTTATGTATTAAATTACTTTCATCCCCCGTCCGTTATCGATATTAACATTTACATATTTGTGGCGTTCGTGTAACAGCACAGTATATATTTATATCACGACCCGGAAGGTTTGACAAATGGATGTAATAACGGCATGAAGACATAAATCGGTACTATTTTTATCCTTTTCACTATTTTTGCTTTCATTTTCTTATCGGTATATAGATATAAAAGAGAGAGAGAGAGAGAGAGATTGGAGCATTGCAACACAGATCTTATTCTTACTCGTGTAATAAACTAATAAAATATACGTTAGGAGCAGCTGGTCTGCGTAACAATATCTAGAAGATATATTTTAAAGCAATTGTGTGTGTGTATATATGTATATACACATTGTTTGCAATTAAAATTTATTTCCATAATAACTTGGTATATGTAACTGATTACCTAAGTTCGCAAATAAGATTGTCTTGCATCGTCGGAGAAATTGAGATAAAGAGGACTTCGTAAAAGACGTAATACTTTGCATATTATGCACAAACTATAAAGTATTAGAGTTATTTGTGTACCTGCCCGCGATATTTAATCCAATACAAAGTGATATTTATATTTTTATTACCCATTTTAAGGAGTATTCTATCGTACACTCGCCCTTTTGTAATGCCGTACCACAAAACGAACCTTCCGAGTCTGCTCCCGAAAGAACAGATAAATCACACGGGGTGGTTTTCTCCCCCCCCCCTCACCCCCACAAAAGAAAACGTTCTGTACAGTGTGCGACGTAGATCTTCTTTGGCTTGATCGAGCCGGACGTACTTTAGCGTCAGGAACACCGAAAAAGAAGTCCGAATTTTCGTCGGTCGTGTTTCGGCAGTTCGGAAGTAGTTCTACGTATAGTGGTCCATTTTAATCGAAATTCGCTCTATATCTTTCTTTGATTTTGGGCGGCGTCGATATGGAATACGGATCGGCGCATCTATGTTCCCCCGAAACGCGGCCCCGGTTTTCCTACGGTAATAAAATCTGTCGGTTCTGGATTTCAATCTTTGCCGACGCAAAGCGAAAGACGTGCCGCGCAAGCACAATCGTTGTAACAAAAAGCTAACGATCCGAGTTCGTTATTCGGGCTAGCTCGGTGCTCCCTGTTATCGATAGTTATTCCCGGTTAATCTAATGGATTAGGCGAAGTCCTTCGTAGCGAATGATAGAAATCTCGAAAACAGAGTGTTCATCGTATAGAAATGTTAGAAATATTAGGAATTTTACGCATGTTACGATTAGAGAGACATAAATAGTTCCTTAGATTGTATACTTATTACAAATAGCATTGCGATGTATACATATCGATAGTCGCTTTATTACATATCTTCACTTTCATCTTCGCCTCAATATGTCAACGATGTATGCGGGACAAATCAGATTTCGATTGCGTTATATATTACTTGATATAGGTAGTAAATACATAGCTAGTCTATTAGAGAATCGTCCGCATAAATAAAATCTTTCTCTGGAAATATTTAATATAATTCCAATAATTAATTACATGCACAAAATAACATTATGTACGACCTTGTACATTTATCTCGCGTTATTAGAATTTAATGAAATTAAATTATTTTATAACGTTTTATTTTGTATATAATGCGCCTGGTAGTTGATATTTCACGATATTTAATATTTATATGAGATATACAACATTTGCATGTCGAATGTGCAATTTAATGCAGCAAGGTAATTGTAAGAAAGGCTATAAATGCTATAAAAGCTGAGAGAGAGAAACTGAGATTAAGGATTCAAAAGACTGGAAATTATATCGCAGAGAAGAGAGTTTTTTGTTATGTTTTCTAATTAAAATTATATAAATATATATTTAAAAAAAAGATATTCTATAGATATTTATATATAGTAAATTGTTTATATATATATATATATATTGTAGGTTCGGATTACCATGTATTTTTATTGAGTCATATAGATATTAGAGATATATCTGATTTTGATATTTCTTTTTTTTAATATTAAGTATATCCGGAATGTATTAATGTCTATAACATTGCTAGAATACTGAACTGAATAGTATGTCTTCTTCCCACACAATTAAATGGCATATCTTACGATAATAACATTAATACTAAATATCAACAATTACATAATTTTTATCTTTATTATATACATATTAATTGATATGCATGCAGCATACACGGTTATATATTTATTCACTCCAAGCGTAATAATTGCGGATTAATTATGAATTAATAAACCTTAAATTGTGATCAATTCTGTGATTTTTCGATTCAAATATACTTAGAACATTTATGAGACGCTAAAATAAGAGACGGTGTCATCTGATTGAATTAGGTCTGATAATATTATACCTTATTTTGCGACTGATTTAATATTTTATTTTGCGTCAAATGCTTCGTCCAAATATTATAATGGCCAACCTCTGTGTATACGTATATAAAATTATACAAATATGCGCGATATATTTACATTTTAAATTTAAGCAATTATAATATCCTTCATGTGCTAATAAACGTTATGCTGCTATTGTATGCGATGTCTTGAGTCATTTTGTCGCTTATGTCTCTCCTCTGAGCTTTCGCAAAATTTTTTTATCCGTTATAATGCCATTGTAGTTTGCAGATTCATCATCCTTTTTATTATAATGTTTGTTATTCCGTAATAATAGACCGGTCATGTGATCACATTTTAATACTTATTTCTTTTCCAAAAATCCCGTCCCAAATATGATAGGATATATACAAGATTTTCAACAAGATAAATTTTTCTAATTATATTTCTAGTGAAGTCTATTTGAAAGAATTTTGAGTATTTTATTTCTTCGATAATGAGAATGTTTGTCCTGTTGCTATCTTGTATATATTCTAAATTACGCAACTATAAAAAACATGTCATATTTTGATGATAAATCCTAGCACAATTTATGGCAGTATATTTAAAGTATCATTTTTTGGTATATTTCTAATTAATCCAGATTGCAATAATATTTTCGGATTAATCCCCAAATGTGTAAATATGGGAATAACAACTTAACTAAACACGTTTGTTGAGGGAAAAACGTATTTAATTTTTGGCAAAACTTTATTTACGATATTGTAAGGAATCGCGCTGCGTTTATATTTTATATGTGCATGTTTTGCAATTTGTTTAACTTCTATGGCTGCATACTCTGAATATTATACGTGATTTTTAGCGATCAACTGCGTGATATAGTCTTATATATCGTGTATATTTGTTATGTTCAGCGTGAGTATAAAGCGTGCGATTAAAACTCGTATGCAAAAAAGGATACTACAAGTGTGTATTGTAACGAAAGATAAAAGTGGAGCAAGGTGAGTCTCCATGAATAACACATTGTTTTATCGGACACACTTTGCTGGTCTATCTTTGTCACCCGTATATACATAATGACAAATTATGCAACTTACTTTACAAAGTTATATTTTTTTTTTCGTCGCAAGTGCAAAACAATTTTTTTGTTCATATAGTGTACGTGAAATGTGCATTTTTCAAAATCTATATAAAACCGAATAACACGATTACGCAACGTATTTCCCTCACGTTTCGTGGCGAGTGTGCAGAAACTTAAAATGGATATTTAATGACAAGGCTTTGTCAGATTTTAAATGCACTCTTTATCAATATCACAAGTGTTATCCATGCAACTTTTCTCAAGATAAAGGCAAAATTCATACTTTATCAAGTAAATTAGTTGCCCTAGGTTACATGGCGAAATTAATTGCTAGACTATTTATCCAGTTTTTTTTTGTCTATATATTTACTTATACCATATTATTACAATATTTATATTATCATAATGGTTTATTATTACGACAAAATGCATATCAAGAAATTTATTGAAATTATAATGATTAATAATATCGTCTCCGAAATCGCTATGATCCTATTTCATTAACAATTACTAAGTGTGTTTTAAGACGAATCGCATTACACTTGATAGCTGGTAAGTGGACGATTAATATGTTGCTTGCAGTAAGACGAACGATATTATGACATCCGGTGGGATACGTGTTACAGGCGAATACATGTTGACCGTGCGTTCCCAACCGCGTTAACTCGTAATAAGATACGGCAATTGCACATAGAGACATACGTATACGATCGTTTCGCATGGCAATTCTAACCGATAAATGTCGCGAGAAATCAATTTAATATTAATCATTTCTATTACTCATGTTTCGCTTCTTATGACCTATCCGTGATTTACAAGTTGCATTTTAAAGAAACGCCTTTCTAATTTCTTTTTTTTTTAAACTCATTGAAAATCAGTAAGATGCTCAATTTTAATCACCGCTATCTCGTAACTTTCTTGAAATGTATTCGGTGTGTTCTGTGTTAAGACGTCTGAATTACTTCAATAACAATCTAAACTACTTCTTACTGGAAGATAAAGCAACTGGACCTTCTACTTTGAAGAAGTGAATATTAACGCATGGTTATTGCACTCTGTCTTACGGTATACAAAAATCGGCTCGTGGCTTTAACAATCTCGTCGGAAGAGACATAACCGGAATGCACTTTCAGGCAGCTAGTTAACCCCGCTCATTGTGCTCCGTTTATGACCGTAACGGAAAGTATGTGGCTGCCTTTGTCGTCGTCAGGAACAACAGTAAACTCTATGGACGAAATTATAAGATCCCCCCCTCCTCCCCTTTCGC